ATTGCCTCTCCCACACACAAACTACATCCTATTCCCCCCCACATTGCTCCCACTCAGAAACACCACACTAAACACAATCTTCAAGTGAGACAGAACATTAAGATCTCATTCATCAAGTTAGCCTAGGAATTTTCAAAGTTGTTTATTCAAAAAAAAAAACAGGAAAAAGACAAACAGAAAACCTTTGGTTTACAGAACACGTCACGCTCATTGGGCTGTGTGCTGGTTTTGGCTGAGCTGCTCTGCTGCATGAGCCCAAAAAATGTTGTTTCCTTACAAGATGTTGGTAAAGAGGAATAAAAAATATGGCACAAACCCTAATGGTGCATCTGTGGTACTTCTGTGGGATCCTGAGTCCTCTGATAGCTGCTGGTGCACACCTAACACAGTATGCTCTGCATGAGCCTTCTAGAACTACAAAGAACTAGGAAGTTCACTAAAAATTCAGTAGAATTAGTTAGTGGGAATGTTCTTATAACAAGAGGAACCTGTCACCCTCCCAGCCCACGGCAGCGACGCAGCAGCTGGAGAGAAACACTGAGATCCACAGTTGTTTGCAGAAATACACAGCTCAGGGTGGACTCTCCCCAGCAATTCCTGCCACAGAGATTTCCTCTTACAGCTCCAAGCAATGAAAGTCCCTACTAGGAAATCCTCCTCCCTAATATAGAAAGTGCATGGAAAGACTGCACAAAAATGGTACCTTCTTCCTCCACACACACATCCGGAGCGTGACGGATGTGAGCACTGCTCAGCTCAACTGCTCACCCATGGCACTGCCAGCTGGGCTCTGTATCCAGGGGGAATATTGTTCTCATGACACTTTTATCATCTGTGTATTGAAAATCTTCTCCTCTCTTGTTTCTTGTTTGGTTGGGTTTTTTTTAAGCTACCTTACAGTTTGCAGCCAGACTGCAGAAAGACTCCTGGAGCACTAAGAGATCACTCACAGCTCTCTCACAAGGAGATTTCTACCACCAGCTGCCTCATGTTCAGACAATCTGAGAAACTCTTCAGAAACTGGGACAATTTCCATAATTCTTCGGCCAACTGCTATTTCTTACCTAAAGGAATGAGCTAAATGAGCTCTGCCTGTGCAAGGTGACTCTGTGTAGCTCCAGAAAACACAACAGACTTCTGAAGGGACAGGATTTGTGCCCAGCAGGGATTGTAGAAGGCTCAAGGGAGAGGATTTGTGCCCAGCAGTGCCTGTTTGTGGCTCAAGGGAGAGAATCCTGCCCAGCAGTGCCTGTTTGTGGCTCA